CCCCCCATGTCTCCCAGACGAGCCACTCGCGGCTATCCTGCGCTCTGCCCCAGCTGTGCAGCACCTGTCCCAGCCCCACTCCCTCCCTCGCCCCTTCCGCCACAACAGGCTTACCAGCTGGACGCTGCTCTGCATGCTGCCTGGCTGCGCATCAGAATTGGATCATTAAAAATCAGCTATCGGTATCAGCCCAAAAATTCTCCATTGGGGCACCCCTGCTGGTCACGAGTCCCTAATGTCACTGAGTTCCCCTTGCATTAGCAGCAGCATGGAAACTGCTCTTCAGCAACTGACAAGTAGAATCCCATCTTCAAGGCTCTCCTGGAAGATGTGCAGGAGGTCTAGGCTGAGGCGGGACCAGAAGTTCTCATGGAATTAACTGGATAATCCATTGAGGCCTTGGCCTTTCCCCTAGGTGCTTCCCCCTAGGCGAGGCCCCCAGTGGCAGTGGTCAGCTCTGCCAAGGATAGCTCCTGGTCAAACTTGTCTGCACTAGATGAGTTTAGGGAGGCTCTTGTGCAAGTGTTGAACTTCTTGTGGGCAGGCAGTCTTGGCTGCAAATAATTCTGTGTAGTAGCTAATGGCATGCTCTCAGATCTCAGTAAGGTCTGTGAGTACCTGGCCCTTCTTTCAAAGCAGGCTCAAGTTTTTCTATTTGTGGCAGGGACTGCTTTTCTTTTTTTATGTGCTCTGTATATGGCAGTCAACTCAATTAGACTGAAGTTCTGTTTCAGTGCTCCAGCAATAAACATGGCATATTCTGGAGAAATTCTTCCTTTTTTTGTCATCTGAACACTTTCTCCTCACGTGTCAGTTTTCTAATAACATGCCTAGAAATGAGTGCATTATTTTAGATGTGGTCATGTTGGAGCTTTTTGGTAACTGCTACTCATTGCATCCAACATGTCTGTACAACCATGAACTATATTGGCATTCTATAATGCTGTGTTACAAAGCACATTCCTATCTAAATTGCTGTCTGCTGTCACCCTAAATCTGTTTCAGCAGGTTTTTTCTCTCACTTTGCATCTGCATTATTTTGCTGCGAGTTAATTAGCTTGCATGTTTGTCTTATTTTATTTTTCAACATGTGCCTTAGATTAATGTGTTACATAATTTTATTTCAGATGCAGTTGTGACTGATATTTGGTCATTACCTTAGACCTAGGACATATTATATCAGTTGATTCTGATTTAAACCAAGAACAACATGGAATTGAATCATGATTATTTAGCCACAACTTGTCCTGCTCAACTGGATTGTTAAACTGTCAGTATTATGCCAACCAGTGATTTGTTTGAAATAACGTTTGTGTGGCACAGACCTGATCTGGCAACATGAAAAATGTCTCCTGTTTTTAGTGTAGTATTTTGGTCCTCTTGAAATCACATCGCACAGATTGTGGGTTATGACAAGCTGGGACTTAAAAGCAATTTGGTTTGATTGGTTGTCACAGCCTAGCTTGGAATACATCTGCATGTGTAAGCAAAAATTTTCTTATGGTTGTCCAATCACATTGACATGACAATCTATTTTAATTAACCTTGCAGAGATCAGGTGTAAATTTGAAATACAGTTTGGTTGGAATGCTGTGATTATAGTTTTTTTCACAGGCAGAAAATTGAGTTCTTATTTGATTGTTACTTATTACAGGTCCAGCTTGTTGGTTTGGATGAGGAAAGCTCAGAGTTTATTTGTAGGAACACCTTTGACCACCCATATCCTACCACCAAGCTCATGTGGATCCCAGATACCAAGGGAGTATATCCAGACCTGCTAGCAACCAGTGGCGACTACCTACGTGTATGGCGAGTAAGTACATTTCCCTCTAGAAGGACATGTAACATTAACTGCATTGTATGTTTATCACCCCATCTCCCAGTTCCATTGCTTTTGAAATGGATCATATTCAGCTTTGTACTCTTTACACTTTTTACAAATTGAGAAGAAGGCCATAAAATCAATGCAAGGTGTTGAGTAATTTGTTTCTGTTGCCTGGTTTCTCAGAATAATTCCATCCCCTTCCCTACCAATAATATTCTAACTGTCCCTGGTACATTAAATGTTACGGGAACAAGAACATTGGAAAGATGGCTTATTATATATAATGTGATGCCAAGGCCCAGTAAATGAATTGTAGCACAGCCGTATTAAAAGGCATGTAAATTTCTCAGTTTTACACCTTCAACCTTAAAGTCATATAGAAAATGCCACATAAAGTTACTGCTTGGAATTTTGAAAGCCTGATGCCCTTGGATTTTGGAGCCAAACCTTTCAGTAAGGCAGTTGTGTTGTTTCTTTTCTGAAGGTGGGTGAAACAGAAACCCGGCTGGAGTGTTTGCTGAATAATAACAAGAACTCTGATTTCTGTGCCCCACTTACGTCTTTTGATTGGAATGAGGTGGACCCGTACCTACTAGGTAAGGTTGCGTATTTTATGTTTTTAAAAGTCACATTTTGAATCCAACCCACCTAAGCAGTGACTGGAACTTCACACCGTGTGGCAATTCTTTGGCCAAGTTCCTAAATCAGGGAAACCATTGCTGTTTTAAGTGCGAAAGGACCAAGGTGCCTTTAGAAAAAGAGTTTCATTTTTAGAAATGTCTCTTTCGGAAAGGTTTGGGTACATAAGTTGGCGTGCAGGAGGCTTCCCTTGCTGTTGCTTGTGCTGTACCTAGAGATGTGGGTCGGGAAATTTTCCAGTGCTTTATTTTTCTGTGGGAAATTTTCCATTTCTAAAAATTTGTTGTTTCATAAAATTCATTAGTAACAATGAACGCATGCCAATACAGTATTAGGCAAGCATGGCAGTTTCAAAGTTGTAATTAATGTTTTTCAGGTGATTATCCCTAGGAAGTGTGTGAGAGAGTACATATATGTTGTACTGATGTGTAAACAGGAGGGTAAATACACTCTCATAATAATCCAAACCAAAAATCAAGTAATAAATTCCCTAATTGGCTGTGTGGGTCAAATCAAAACCACAGCTAAAATTTCTTATTTAATCTCAGACTGCAAGTGAAAGCAAAACTAAAACTGTGATTAATTTTTGTTTCACTTCCAGTTCAGCAAACACAGAGCAGTGTCTCATTTCTTTTCTTGAGTTGTGGAAGTTGGAAGTGTTTGCATAAGATATGTTAGTTTTTTCCTGATTTTGGTTTGAAGTAGTCATAATAATGCCTAATCAGAAAAAAACTAGTATGGGGCATCATTATAGTAAAACTCAAGCCACTGAAGCAAGGAAGAAAGTTAGTAGATGTAAATATTGCGGGCAGGAGTATGCTAACAACACAACAACAATGAAGAAACATTTAATAACATGTAAAAACTGTCCTGAAAGAGTACAAGCCATATACAGAAAGCTAATAAAATGAAGTGGTGGAACAACAACATCTAAGAAAAGTTTACTTCTTTCCACATAAAGCTTTGAATTTGTTTGAATATAACATTTAAACCACATGAAGTGTGCTGTATTTATTTTTTTTCCTAATCAAATATTTTGGTTCAAATACTTGTGGCTATTGGGACATAAAATTAACCTGGGGGTAGTTTTTTAGTATTTTGTTTACTACATATATGTCAAATAAACATGCTAAATCAGATCATGCTCTATTTAGGGTGTTAGAAAATTGTCCAGAAAATCCACGTTTCTGGATGTACGTCCTGGCAATACTGTTGCCATTTACCATGTTTCATTCAAATTCTGCAGCAGCAGCATTAGTTCAAGCAGGATGATTTAATTGGAGAACTGGGCTAGATTTTTAGTACTTAATTATAACCCATGGGCTAAGGTATGCCTGCATGATGGTAGATTCCACTTCACTCCTCAAAGTGGCAGCATGCACAGGAGGCATGTCTCCAGGGCACTGCCAGTGCCCTGCACTTCCCACCCAAAATGTCACC